CAGGGTGGCAAGGACATGGCTGACCACTGGCACTGGGTATGCATGGGCCGTGAGGGCCTGGTTTATGGTACATTTGTAGTCTGCGCAGATGCGGACCGAACCATTAGGCTTGACGGGTGTGACGATTGGGGTTTCCCAGGGGGCATTAGGCACTGGCTCCAGCACTCCTTGCTCCACGAGCCGGTCCAATTCCTCGTCTATACGGGGTTTCAGGGCGAACGGGATCCGGCGGGCCTTGAGCCTGACCGGTCGTACTGCGGGGTCAAGCTGTAGCGCAATGGGGGGCCCCGTATACTGTCCCAATTTCCCATCGAAAACCGCTGGAAAATCCTTGCATATGGCGTCCACGTCCACTTGTAAGCTAGTGTGGTTCACCCCGGTGACGGCTAGCCCCAGTGGTCCAAACCATGCCAATCCCAGTAAGCTAATGTAGGGGCCCTTGACCACAAGCAAGTCCAGTTGCCGCGTCCACCCTCGGTATTGCACCCTGAAGGTCCCCACCCCCATTGTGGGGACCTTACGTTTCTGGAAGTCCCGTAGGGTGAATGGGGCCGGCCTGAGTTTGGGACCCCCAGTAGGACACAGTTTCCTTAAGGTCCTTGCCGAGATTATGGATAGAGTTGAACCCGTGTCAAGCTCCATGCAGCATGGGGCCCCCTCTATCTGTACCTCTACATAAATTTTCTCTACGTTGGGGTGGGGCAACTGGTATACCTGGAAGTCTGTGAGCTCCGTCGAGTTGCCTTGGTGCGTTGGGCCCCGGGACCTGGGGCTCTTGGATTGGTCATCTGATGCCTGGCGTCGGGTGGGCCGAGCTCGACACACCCGGGCGATGTGTCCCGATTTTCTGCACTGCCTGCACTCTGCGTTGCGGAAACGGCAGGTCCTCCTCTCGTGACTTTCCCCGCAGCTTGCGCAGTTCCCTCCTTCTCGTCGAGGCAGCTGTGGTATGTGGGCTGCTTGAGTGCGCTGCTGTACTCAGTGCACCTCCTCCCTGTCAGATCCTGAGTCGTCGGTGAGGTCTTCGTGGTGGACCCTCGGTTGGGATGGCAGGCTTGGCCATGCCTCTTGCGTCGACCTCTTGGCAGCTTCCGTTGCCAGGGCCTCCTCCAGAGCGACCTGGAACGTTAGGTCCTTCTTAGCGTAGAGGCGTCGTTGCAGCTTCTCATCCTTCAGGCCACCGACGAGGCGGTCACGAAGCATGTTCTCCAGCTCTGAGAAGTTGCAGAACCAGGCGGCTTGGCGGAGAGAGGTCACAAACCCAGTTATGGTTTCCCCAGGGGCTTGCCGCTTTGCGTAGAAGGCATTTCGACGAGCCACCACTGAGGGCTGCGGCGAAAAGTGCCCCTTCAGCTGTTCCATTCTTGTTTTGTATGGAACAGTAGCGACGTCTTCAGGCGCAAGGAGAGCCCGGGCGATTTCAAACGTCTCCTCTCCGCAGACGCTGAAGAATATCACCCTCTTCTTGGCGTCTTCTTCGTCGGTGACCCCTTTGGCTTCTAGGAGGAAGGTGAAACGGGAGGCGTACGCTTCCCAGTCTCCAGATGCTGGGTTGAACGGCGAGAAGCTGCTGTCGGTTGCCATTCTGAGTTCCTTGTGTCCCGGAGCTGAAGCCTGGATACACGGTGCGAGGCAGTGGTGCGGCAGGTGGCGGTGCTGCGGTGCTGTGTGTGGCAGTCAGCTCAGCGGGATCCCATCCTCGTTGCCAGTGAAATATACTCAGAGTCGCAAAGTGATTTCATGCTCTTTATTCAGCTCATAGTGTTGAGGAGGAATGAATGAAAGTCCCCTCAAAGTATCTGCTTTATATACATTATTTACACAATGGGCTGCACATGATTGGCTAATTCTGGAATTCTACGGTAAGCCAATCAGGTTGTGGATTCACTTATATCTGGAGCATGATTGGGTGGTTCCTGCCAACCAATCATACTGCTGCATTGTTCTAGGACCAATCAGACTGCTGCATTCTGAATCCTATTGTTCTAGGACCAATCAGACTGCTGCAATTTGGATCCTATTCAACTCAGTACATAACAGAATGCTTTATCACATTGTTTTGCTGGTCCTGGATGGAGGTGCTCTAGAATAGGGTAACAGGTCAGAATGTGATCAAACAGGCTTTTGGCCCTCTTTTACCCATCTGTCATGTTTATCTGGGGTGAGAGAGACCAAGTCTGTTCACTGCACTTACCACATCAAGCCTTCCCCTGCTCCATCTCATTGTCCATTGATTCACTGGGTGGGTTATCTGTGAGGATGAGTACCACTCAGCCCATCTTCCCATCACAGCCGTCTTATGCTATTTTAAGAGCTCCACACATAACCAAACTGTAGAAACGTTATAAAGATTGTATGTAAAGTTTCACTCTCAATTTCAATATTTCCCATGGAAAAGGGGTTAGCATATGTTCCAGTTTGGTAGAATTTGTGTTATAGAAGTTTAAAAAGTCACATATAAGAGGATGAACTGTGAAAGGCATACTGGAGGCATTTAAGCCTTCAAACATCACCTACTTCATTACTGGTACTCTTCCATAGCCTAATCCTAAATAGCTTGCATGTTAGAGAAGTTTTGTATTGTTTAAACTGGTTAAATAGTTTAAAGCAAACATATGAAAGCCAAGTCCCAACCCCCAACCCCCACTTTCTGATAACGGCAACATAAACTAAATAAATTGCTTTTCAAAACTTTAATTTATGTTGATGCTAGCAGTCAGTGTAAAATGCTAAGATTAAAAATATGCTGTTATATCTCCAGTAATTTAGTCAATTCCTCCAATTAATGCAACCATAACAACGGTCAGTGGGACATCTTTTTGCAAATATGATTTCATGGTGCATGTGTTGTTTTCCTATTAGGAAGATATGTTTTCAGTTCAGCATGAAGGATTAGTTGGGCTTTGGCAGTTCTTCTTTGAGCTTGACATTGATATCATAATAAGCTTAAATGGCTCATTCCTGGCCAACCCTCTTTATAAGGTAAACCACCTGGTCAGAGTTGTCAGCTAGGTAAATTGCCTCTTAGGCACATCTAGGAAGCATCCCTAGATGACTAACATACACTTTGGGAAATGGTCATATCCACAGATTCTGAAGGACAATGTGGATTGAGAAACTGTTATACTAAAGCTGAGATATAAGGAAGAGTCCTGCATTTGAATCTGTATACTTACTGATGAGATTATGCTCATTTCAGTTCCTGTAACCTAAATCAATGTCTAAATCAGTTTTGAAAATGGGATTAAAATCCTAAAGCACTTGCAAGACAATGTGAATGCTAGCCTCTCACTCTGTGAACATGGCTTTTGCAGTATTTTGGGGCAAGAATTCTTTGTGGATAAAGGGATATCTAAGCTACTTTTGCAAATTAAAGGTAGCTCATGCACTGGCAGTTGATAGCATGGAAACTAGTTATACCCTGTAAACTGATTTGCACCAAACAATCCCCACCCCTCACAAAAAAAGAGTCAGTTAGATTTACATCCAGAAGAAAAACAATGGGTGGAATTCAGAGCAGCATACTTACAAGGGCACTTATTCTGGCTAAAGCCAAAACTATGTGTGTCAAACCTGTTTTGCCACCTAAATTATTTTGCCAGTTTTTCATTATACATTTGACAATATATTTTTTTCAACCTGCCAGGTGAACCTTAATCTGCTGTTTCTAATACTTTGTTCTGCATGAAACTTGGCTGTGGTGCAGATAATAGACCAAAGTGCTTTCAGCAGGTACAACATATTCTTTACCCCCATGAATAACAACTATGTCTGAGAAACAGGAATGAATTCAGTCGGAGAGCCTCTGTTGTGGTCATTCACAAGGCTGCTGTGTAGGCACCTGTTATTCTTTGTCCTCCTTTCAATCTTTCTCGGACTTCCAGGAGAAATAGGATATGACTTCAGCAGTTGGCATGCCTAAGAAAGAGAGGACACAGCAAGCCTTTTGCATGTCCTTGATTCTGTTTGGGAAATTGGCTGCAAAACAGCTCAGAGCAAATGATCAGCAGCTGGAGCATATGGACCAGGATGCACAGAAGGTATTTGTGAGGAAGTGAGAGAGAAGGAGAGGTGCCATCCGTGTGCTCTGCCAATGCTCATGCCTCTGCCATACCCTTCTGAGTGAGGGGTGTGGGGAGAAAAGACTCCTTACCTCTTCACTTGCAAGGGAATTCTTTGTCCAGTGACAACCTGTCCTGCTCCATGCAACTAGGCTGCAATATTGCCAGGCAAAAATGTTTATGAATGCTCAACAGTGGCAACTGTTGAAGTGGAGTGCCTGGCCTTTGCTAACTGTGTGCAGGGATGTGTGCTTAGCATGTGTGTTTAGGACACTGCTCCCTTCTGTTGGGAGGGAAGAATGTTACCACACAAGACACAGTATTCACATGTAACAAACTGAGTCAGAAGGAGACATGGGAGACTGTTGTGGCCATAGATATTCATAGCATGGACCACCCCTGGTGTGCATGATCAAGTTATTTTGTGCAATGTGCCATTTCTCCATAGTTCCCATCCTCAGAGTTCTCCCTTAGGTGCATGGCATGAGGTTAGATTGATCTAGCCCTATTCTAGGTCCCCTGTCATCTCACTTACTGGCTCGCTGTCTGGGGGTTTCACCATGGGTGATTTATGTACAGGGATTAGGTGCAGAACTCTGCCTTATCCTATGCACCTTGTAGGAATGTTTTGCAGGGGGCTGTCATCATGGAGAGCATGTGATTTTGGGTAGTAGTCAACTAAGTTTTACTCAGAGTACACCCACTGAAATTAATAAACATGATTAAGTTAGGTCCATTGGGCAGGATTCAACTAAGCTTCTGCATGTGTAGAATGGAGTCTGCTCACACAATGGAACTTCCCCCCTCTGCTCCTGCACCCCTTAAATCTGCTTTGGAGGGTTGGGTGAACCCCCAAAACAGGTTTAGGGTGTGCATGGGAGGAAGGTACATTGAAAGTCCAGTTGCACATGTGGACCTCATTCACACCCCTCTTAGCACTATGTTTTACTCAAGGTAGACCCATTGGGTAGTATTAAAATATGTTTTATTCAGAATAGACCCACTGAAATGAATGGGCCTAACTTAGTCATGTCCATTAATTTCAGTGGGTCTGCTCTGAGTAAAACTTAGTTTAATATCACCCAGTAGGTCTGCCTTGAGTAAAAGTTGAATACAACCTTTTGTATTTATTTTCTACTCTTCATTGAATTCAAGGGGAGGAAAATTGCTTGCACCAGCTCTGTCACTAATATTACATTTCATTATCCATACCATCAATGGCGGTGTGGTATAGTGGGATTTTCTGTCATATGCTATAGACCCTCCACTGGCTCCCTTAATTATAGGATTGTGCTAGGAATTTGCTTTACCCACCTGCTTTTACCCTGAATGTTTTATTTTCAAGTAATAATTAATGTTCAGGTCTTTCTTAGCAGGATTTGCATGGTGGCATTCATGCATATCATCTCCCCTAAATCAAAAGCTCCCTCCCCTTTACCAATATCAGTGTGAAGGAGAAGGTTTAAGCCCTCTCTCTGCCAAGGCTAAGGTCACAGCCTGGATCCAGGCCCTTTAGGGATTTTTTTTTGTAAAAGGGAGTTTAAATTCATTATAAATCATCTCCCAGAAAACCTTAATCCTTGGGCACGTCCACCAAAGGTGAAAGAATGTACCTTCAGTTTCTTTACATTTCCAACATTTGTTATCGGGCAAATGGTAGATTTTTGCAAGCTTGACTGGGGTTATGTACCACCTGTATATCATTTTCATAATATTCTCTCTTAGGGCATTACATGCCGTAAACTTCATACCTGTGGTCCACAACTGTTCCCAGTCAGCCATCATTATATTACAGATGTAAAGTTCTTTAAAGTCTCTTGACCATATTTGGGTTAATTAAATCTACATCAAATCGTCTTTTGTCCACTAAATGACATTTTGTCTTAAAGCATTCATACATGGAAAACTACAGTTTCACAGTTCTGATACCCATATCTTTAAGCTTATAGACCGGGGTCAGCAACCCTTTTCAGCCGTGGGCCGGTCCACCATCCCTCAGACCATGTGGTGGGCCAGACTATATTTTTTTTGGGGGGGGGGATGAACGAATTCCTATGCCCCACAAATAACCCAGAGATGCATTTTAAATAAAAGCACACATTCTACTCATGTAAAAACACGCTGATTCCCGAACCGTCCGTGGGCCGGATTGAGAAGGTGATTGGGCCGGATCAGGCCCACAGGCCTTAGGTTGCCTACCCTGTTCTAGACACTTGATGCCTTGGGCAAGCCTGCCCTCTCCATGTTTATTATCACACTGCACCTTGGGAACTGTAGTTTGTGTAGGGTGGCGAAGGCGGCATGTTGTGTTGGCAACAGTAATGCTTTGTGCCCTGCATACATTATGCTTCATCATGCATAGTTCAATAATTGTTAATCCATGTTGTCAAACATGCAGCAACATGTAAATGATTATTGTATTAGCATTGTGTGTTGCAAATCACATGATTAAGAATGCCTATGGTTTTCAAACACTGAATTGTGGCCAAGGATTAGTTTATTTATGTAAGCAGCATGGTATTATTTTGTAAATTGGAGATCCATTTGAAAGGTCCACATAGCCTCACAGTGTTCAGCACAGTTTAATTGAGGGCAAAGTTTAGCCTTAAATAAACTGTACACCTGCAGAGCAGCTGCCTTCAGGTATGTGGCTGACTGAATGCTGATCATGTGGACCATGCATGCACACTATCCCATTTAACATTCTAAACTAGAGAAGAACTTTCAGGAAAAAGAGCACTCAATTCATAATACAGCTAAGCCTTATAACCAAATTAATGCACCTTATTAGGTAATTACAAACGCTGGCTACCTCACTCATTTAGATTCCCCACACAGAAGAGCTGTGCATTTATTGTATAAAATGACAATCTGATAAAGAGGGTGAGGTAGATTTGCTTTCGAGTGAAATATAGGCTAGCTTGCTTCCTTTCCAAGCTATTTTAATGTTTTCCCAAGCATTCATTGTTCGTAAGTGCAGGGGACTTGCGTTTGAATTGACTCTGCACTTTGCGTACTTTTGAAGGTCACAATGCCATTTTGGCTTTGATTAAACTCAAACTGTATTCACTGGTTAAGCTTGACCTTTTAGGACTGTTTTCCATGACATATGGTACATGTGCATGCACGCTTTCTGTGTCAGTCAATGGATATGGTTCTTTTACTGAGATAGAAGACAAACATCTGAGAGATGTTTATCTTTATGGAATATATTCTGATAATTGCTGGACCTCCTATAGTCAATCCAGTTATTTGCTTCTTTTTAGCCATTTCGGTAAGCCTATTTAAGCTGGAGCACATCAAGGTAAGGCATTCAGTTTGTACTAGGACCCAAATATATTTTAGATTGTATTTGCGCATTTATCATTTGTGTATTGCAATGCCAAGGAATAGACATTTACAGCAGTTGCCAGTAACACATGAAGCTGCTCTTCCTCTTACCTTTGAATAGTTTTGCAGCACATGGAAGAATAAGTGGCCAGCTGTTGAAATGTTGCCAGGCACATACTGTGCAAGACAACTCTTCTACCCCTATCCTTTTGATATGTCTTCTTACGATCAGAACAGAGCATAATAACATGTTGGAGAATTGCATGGCATAATGCAAAGGGTAGCTTAATGCAAGATGTAGGGCTGAAGTAGATGATCTTGAGATAGTTTTAAAGTCTTAAGACCAGGAAGGGGACCCTTTGACCCTCCAGATGCTATTGGAATACAATTAATATTAATTCCAATTAGCATAGCCAAAGGTTGGAGGTGATCGGAGTTGGAACCCAGCAACATCAGGAGGGACACCACAGCCATCTTAAGATGCCCTTTCAATTTCATTGTCATATTGTGCACACACACATTTCTCTGGGGTATATGCACACATATCAATTATCCTAATTTCCAATACATGCTTTGTGTATTAGAGTTTTCTATCAATTGTGCATCCCATGTATATCATATTCTTATGTTACTTGACACAACTGCCAGTGCCTGTCCCAAAAAGCCTATTGACTGATCTAAAACAGCCACTGAAACCTTTTCAGGGAGCATTTTGATTGAAATTCATAGCCTGCAACTGATAATCAAAATTGCAAGAAGGGAATTCCTTTTCAGTAACTGATACCATTTTTTTAAAAAAATACATTTTTAAAAAGAGTTTTAAAAATAGTGCCCATTTTTGTTAGGCTTCATGGTAAGTACTTGCTTCTGTTAAATAAAGCACATCACAAATTTTGTGCCTCCTGTGTCAGTTGCTTTACATAACATTAACTATTAAGAATAAGGATCTATTTTTAAATCATTAAGCTCCTGAATTTATGTATACAATTAGGAACCTTTTAATGCTAATTTTGGATTACTAATTAATTATAATGTATAAAATGTATTTTTTTTTCTTCCTCTGAGGAGTCCTTAAATCATGGATCTTATAAGAAAAATACTGCCTCAGTTTTAATTATACTAATGTTTATAGGAACTGTGACTATATTTAATAAGCTTTCTAAAACTGTTCGATAGTACAGATGGTAAATTCTGTATTAAAGTGGAATTCAATAGCTTGTTTCACTGATAGCTGGCTTTCGTACTGTGACAGTGAAAAATACAGTACAATCCATTAAAACATAATTACTTTTGTTGGGATAATTTTAATATAATGAAACTGCTGCCCTGGAAACCATTTCACTTTTGAATGTCATAATCCTAAAGGGTCACGTGAATGTTTAATGCATACACCTGATTTCCCCCACACAAATCCTTCCACATGTTCTTTACATTTAGCAGAATTCAACGTATAATCTGGGGGTTAGATGCACATATCCCCCCCAAGTGGAAATAGCACATGTTTAAGCAGCTATGAAGGTCTTCACACCAAGTTACTAAACTGTTTTTGGATCTAGTGACATTCTCTGCCTCCCAAGAGTGCTGCTGGATGACTAGAGCCCACCAAGCTTTCCCCCCTCCCCCAATTACAATCAAGAAACGCTCCCATGCTACACCACAGCTTAGATGAAGAAATGCTCCCATGCTACACCACAACTTAGATGCATTTTGAGCTAACCAGAGTTATATTCAGGTATATGAAGACGAGCAGCAAAGTCAGTCCTCAGGGAATGTGCAGGCGACCTTGGAACGGACAGCTCACGGAAGAACCCCGACCAAACCTAAGAGGAGGCGTGTAGTGGTGATAGGGGATTCCCTACTGAGGGGAACAGAAGCAGTGATCTGTGGGCCTGACAAGATGTCTCAGGAAGTGTGCTGTCCCCCGGGGCTAAGATCCAAGATGTAACTGAACGACTGCAAGGAATCATAAAACCCACTGACAAATACCCCTTCCTCTTGGTTCATGTGGGAACCAATGACACTGCAAGCAATAGCCTCCAGAAGATCAAAAGAGACAACGAGGCTCTGGGCAGGAAATTGAAGCAATTAAATGCACAAATTGTCATCTCATCTGTCCTCCCAGTTGAACGACGTGGCCCAGGGAGAGAGGGAAAAATAGTGGAAGTGAACAGCTGGCTTCGTAAATGGTGTAAACAGGAACGGTTTGGATTCTTAGATCACGGACTGCAGTTTCTTGAAGATGGACTTCTGGCAAGCGATGGGCTGCACCTCACAACGGTTGGGAGAAATGTTTTTGCCAAAAATCTCAGAAACCTCATCAGGAGGGCTTTAAACTGACTAATGTGGGGGAGGGAGACAGTGCTCCTGAAGGTAGGAGTCTATCAATTGATGAAGATGATCATCCAAATGTCATAGACCAAATGGAGCAAACAGCACGCAGACCTAGTGGTGGGAGGAAAAAATCCTTAAATAAGAGACACTGGGGAATGATTAATGGACTTCAATGTCTGTACACTAATGCGGAAAGCATGGGAAATAAACAAGATGAGCTTGAGCTCTTGGTACAGCAAACTAAATATGACATAATAGGCATCACTGAAACCTGGTGGGATAAGTCCCACTATTGGAATGTAATAATGGGGGATACAATCTATTTCAGAGAAACAGACCAGACAAGACAGGAGGAGGAGTGGCGTTATATGTCAGGGATGTGTATCCCTGTGAAGAGATCCAAGATTTAGAACCTCAAAGCCAAAGTGAGAGCATTTGGGTCAAAATTAA